GTTAGCGGGCAGGGAGTTCTGTGCCGCTCTGCCAATGACGGTGCCTTTCTGCTCTGCGGCTGTGTGCTTTGGAGACACCCAGTATTGCTCTGACATAGGGCATGCTTCTTGCAGTAAAGGATTTTGAGAAAAGATTGTTAAAGGAAACCAAAGACCTGCAATCACGTACAGTTCAGTGCACTGCTGTGTCTAACATCTTTCTTGTTTTCTCTTCAAGGGTGGGGGAGAGCAGCAGCTGCCACGTACCTCGTTGGCTTTGTGATCCTGGTCATCTGTTTCGCCCTCGCAGTCATTGCGTTCTCGATCGAGATACTCCGCTTCAACTTTGTGCGAGGAATTGGAGGCTTGCTCTTTGTTGTTGGTAAGGCTGGGCACAAAGACAAGGTTATTTTAGATGTAAAACAGGCATCAGCAGAAAAACATGCTAGATGGAGCCTCCCTTATGAAATAAGCTGGCTTTGTCTGCTTTATGACTCATTTTCGTGGGGAACAAGGGAAGGTTGATTTACGCTCTGGGAGGATGATGGTTAGGGAAGCTCCAGTGGCCTTTGTCAGTTAGCACTTCCCCAAAAGCAGTGTACAGGGGCAACCAACACCTTTGCGTGTCACATGCTAAGACCTAGGAGCTGAGAGCCCTGGGTGCTTCCCACCTTCCCGAGGGCAGGAGGAGCGAGGGGACTATGGTACAAGCGGGAGGTAACTGGCTGTGCAGGGATCACGGTGCCTGGCTGTAGGACAGGGCTGGCCACGGCATGCAGGTCTGTGCCTTAGCCAGCTACCGATGTCAGCCGTAGCTGCCTCAGCCAGATAGGCGTGGGGATTCTGCCTTGGCCAGAAGTAATGTACCTCTGTAAGAATACAGATTTGATTGTAGGACTGAAACTAATTTTACATACCTTAAAAGGATATGCAGTTGTCTCCAGGTACCGTTTTTTTAGTGGGAAATGTAATACATTCATTGTCATTTACTCCTGCTTTTCTTTCTTTCTCTCTCTAGCTGCATTCCAGATCATAGGCTTGGTCATCTACCCAGTCAAATTCGTAGAAGAAATTCCGCTGCAGGGAGATAATATGTTCAGCTGGGCCTATGGCTTTGGTTGGGCCAGCACTGTTGTTGTAATAGGTTGTGCTTTCTTCTTCTGCTGCCTCCCCAACTGGGAAGATGAAGTCCTGGGAAACATCAAGCCTACTTATTACTACTCCTCCCCAGAGAGAGCACCATACTTAAACTGAAAGATTAAATCCACGTACAATCAACTGCCGAAACAACAGAAGAGCACCTCTGATGTAAATTTGGTGTGATTATAGGAGTCTGAAAAAAACCACCTTATTTCTCCAGAGTATTTCTTACTAGCCCTGGTGATAAATTAGTAAAAACATTGGCATCTTTAAGCAAATAGCTTTTACCTAAAGTATTATTTACGTATTCTCATGTCGATTCTGTTTGGGTGGTTTACTTGCTCCTTCCCCTCCCAACTAATTGAGTCATCCTTATTTTATTCAAACATTTGCTTATGAATAAAGATGTAGTGTTTCAAGTGTAGGGAGAAAGAGGAGAGATTTTAAACAACCCATTGGAGGGACCTGCAAGTTATTTTGGTTTTACCTTTGACAAAATTGCCTTAAATGGAACTAGAAAAAAAACCACAACCTTCCAAAGAATGCTTTATCTTCCACCAAAGTCAGACCCAAGGAAGGAACTTCCCTGAGACTATCACAGTCACCTCCTGCCTAAGAATCTCTTCTCATTCCTGTTACTGGACTATTGTTGACTATTTGAATTAAGGGGAAGATAAAATTAAAATTTATTTTCCACCAATTGGTGCTGTTGGACGGAGATCTCCTCTAAAGCATGGAGCCGGTTTGTATCGCAGTGGCTAATGTAACACTTAACTGGTGTTTTTCTGGCCACTGCAGGACTTGTGATGGAGCCACATATAATTTAATATACCTTGTCACAGAGAGAATCAACAAACTTTCACATGTTAAACTACATACATTTTTACACAGTATTTGAGGGATGCTGATTTAGAAAATACCTTTGAGTAGAAACACACTGTTCTTTATGTTTACCTTTTTAAAACTGCTGTATTTTAATTATCAGCTGTGCTTTGGAGGGAAACCTTAGCATAAGGTGTTGAAAACCTCCGAAAGTTTCTAGAGCACACTGTAGATACTCCAAAGTTTAATAAACTTGGGGATGCTTTGTAAGTCACTAGGACTAAAAGGTAAAAATAGAAAAGCAGTTCTGTGAGCAATTTATGTATGCAAACTTCATACAGACACCTGTCTTGGGGAGTAATCTGGCCGGCTCCTAGCTTGTGTTTCTGGAGCCAGCAATTCCAAATAAGCATTCCAGTGAGGCAGAGCCGTGTCTGTGTTGGTTATGGACCTGTGGCAGCTTACAGCAGATTTAATTATGGTATATAATCTTGGTCAGAGCTTTCTTCAGCTGGGGAAGAAGGAGGAAGAGGCTTATTTGTGGAGCTCTTCTAGCTATGGGGGAAGTAACTCCAGCAGAGACAGATTGCTGAGCAGGGCACAGGCAGGGTGATAAGCAAATGCTACGCATTGCTCTGTGTGACGAGCAGCTGGGGACTTACTTCTTGCTATTGTGAACACAGTACTTGGGAGAGGGTAAGCGTGTGGGTATATGTGTTCATGCACATGTACAAAATAGAATGTATAAAGCACTAACCAGCATAAAGATAAAGTCCTTTAGAACTAAGCTTTTTCAATGCTCAATATTTCTTGTATTATATATTGTATAGCTTTCTGTTTTGTAACACCTTTTTTAATTTGGTAATTCTGTATATTGCATGTGATCCTGTTTTGGAAAGGCCAGGTGACTTCTGAAGGTCCCTTCCAGGCCTGTATTTTATAACTTTACAGAGCACAAACATCTGCAGGCTTCAGAAACGTGTTACAAGCTTCTTCGTGCTGTATACAATCAACTGTATTTATGATTCTTGCTGAAGAAGAGAATCCTTTTCTCTTCTCTGTACAGTACTGGCTGGTGGGCAATACTGTGTAGACTTATCTGTATCATGAGTAATGACAGTACCTAACTTTTGTGTGAATTCAAAACACAACAGAGAATCCCAAGTCTGGAAAATCCTTGCACAGCTAAAGTTGAGAAGGAGAAAAGTTGTAAGAAAATGGACACCCTTCCTAATGAAAGGAAGGATGGTTTGGTAATAGGGTTTACCATAACTTAAGTCTTTTGTATGTTTTTTTTTTTTTTATAAGCATTGTGATAACTTGTCAAAAAAAGCACAACTGTAAAATAAACTTGGCTCTGAATATACTGGGAGGGGTGGAAGCATAACAAGCATGTTACACAAGTAAGATGTTTGGGAGAAAGCTATTGCAAATAGTCATTAATTACTCTCAAGTGATACTAATGTATGTGGCACTCCTTTTAAATGTGGTGGCTTAATTAAAACTGTTTTAACTGAAGGTTGTAGAAAGTTGTTGTTTGTGGTTCACTGATTCATGTCATAAACTCAAGCAAGTAGCCATTCTTTACTTCTCTTAATGTGAATGTCAGTATCCATGAAGTGTTGGGTTAATAAAACGAAGTTAAAGACCTGGTATGTCCGGGAGGTGACAACTTCGTTTTCCAGTCAAATAAGCTTGGGTATACACCGCAAAACATGGCTGCGGGCTTTCATCAGAAGCACCAGGCATAGAAAGCTCTTTGCTAAGCCAAAACCTCTTAAATGCATCACCCTTGAGGGGAACCCTAAGCAGTTTAAGAACATTGTGGTCTACGGGAGGTCTCAGGTGTGAGAAGCCTGTTCTTTTTTTTAATCAAAACTGTGCCAAATAGTTTTCATATACTGATCAAGAACTTTAAATATGGAGTAAAGGATGAAGTGCTCACCTGCTATTTTCAGTGGAAGATTGCACTTCTCCTGTGATTTAGAAACCTTCCCATTTCTAACTTCAGATTGTTTATGGCTCGCATATAGCCCTGTGCTAGGGGCACTCTGTATTCTGAACAACTCTTTCTCCCTCTGAGTTTGTACAGAGACTAAATCTTTCAGCCACCGGTGTCTTAAACGAGTGTGTGACTTCTGATTTCTGGAAAGACAGGTTCACCATTCTGATTTTTTTAGCTGTCCTCTTCCTTAAGTGTCTTAGTTTTAAAATGCACTTATCACCTTGGATTCGGGCATCTTGCTGTTTTTTTTCGTTTGTGGGCTTTGGGGTTTTTTTTCTTATTTGCTTTTCACCCCCCTCCTTTAGTTACTCTTAATTTTATATACACAGTTAGGGAAAATATTTTTGTTCTTTTTAGATTTTTCCTAAATGCTTTGAAGGTAATTGGAGGGTTTGTATAATGCCCATTTTTTTGACATGAAGAACATTTGTATTCTTGTTTACCAACCAGCCTGTATTCAGCTGCAGCCTAATTCTGTGCTCACTAAAATCCCCTGAACAGCTCTTGTGAGCTTCTGGGTGCAGGGTAGCTCCTTCTAACCCAGCCCTGAAGACAAGAGAGCAGGTGGGGAGAATCCGAGCACACTTGACTCTCGTCTCAGGGGGAGTTATAAGCAATCAAACCCATGTATGACTGGGTGCTAGGGAAGGCTAAATGACCTGAATGGGATGATTAATGATTAAATCTCATGAGTATGGGAAACAGCTGCCACACCCCACTGGGATTTTGCATTTTTAGTTGATGTAACAAGTGACTCATTTTTTAAACAATTCCTTGACAAGGTAGAATTCTTAGGAAGAATTCACTTGACCTTTACATCCTGCATCTACAGACTCTTGGACCTGGAATACATATATAAATCAAGGTGGTGTAGTAACAGATCATTCCAGGTAATTTTTTGGCAGGGTGAAGGGTTGGTATGGTGATAAGCACTGTAGAAACAAACCCACATACTAAAAGGAAAAGTTACCTTTACAAACACAAAAAAAGAGTTGCTGAGATCATTGAGCACTTTTGAACTAGCGATGAACCAAGCACATACATCAATGTAAACCAAAATTCTTTAGGAGATTCACAACAGCTGAGAGAGCTGAGGTATTGGTCCCACAACGCAGAGCAGTGGAGGTTGCTGGCAATACAGGACAGCACCCTGAAAAAACAGGGGTTTCAGTGCTATAAGGTGAAGCTGCCCAGATTTTAAAATGAACTTGGGAGATGATAATCACAACCAGAATAAAGTGTAATCAAACGTGGAGGATATGTTTGCCAAAAATAGGGATGCTGAGTTTCTGAATGTGATTCCTGTAGCAGCTGCCTGTACAGAAGCAGTGATATCCATGTGCAATGAGTTCACAGCACCTGGGGTTCATCAGCGTTACTGCACGGGGGCAGCAGTTCATATGCGTAGATCCCCTTGACCAAGAATGTGTTGATTTTGCTGTGCATGTGCAACGTATTTACAAGATAGGTCCGATGCATCCACTGTGCAGGTCTGCTCTGGTGCAATAAGTGGCCTTTTATCTGGAATTTCCTGGCTCCCAAAGGTGTGAGCCAAGCTACTCCAGCTACAGAGCTTGACATCCAGATATTCCAGGCACAAAGCTGATGCCCTCAAATTTTGCCTCTATAAAATTATATTTAAATTACTTGGGAGTTGTCAGAATAATCCAAACGGTATTTTTTATTGTGATTTTTGAGTACCTAAATTTAATAAGGCTTTATTTATAATAAAGGCTGTAGTGGAAAACTTGCAGACTTATCTAGGGCTTTAAGATATAAATAATAGATATATAATGTAGAGAGGTTGGTGCTGGTCTCTTCTCACAGCTAATTAATGACAGAACGAGAGGGAATGGCTTCAAGATCCAACAGGGTAGATTTAGACTGAACATTAGGAAAGAATTTTTCACAGAAAGAGTGGTCGGACATTGGAATAGGCTGCCCAGGGAGGTGGTTGAGTCACCATCCCTGGATGTGTTTAAGAGACATTTAGATGTGGTGTTGGTGGATATGGTGTAGGGGGGAACTTTGTAGAGTAGGGTAGATGGTTGGACACGATGATCCCAAGGGTCTCTTCCAACCTAGACAATTCTATGATTCTATAATATAACCATAAATAATATAACTAATAATGTATGATAAGCAATATGTGTTGTATAATATAAATAATAAATATACATGTTTCCATGAATGATATTCCTCATGGATCTGTCTTCACAGGATTGGATAATATTTACTAGAAGAATTGTTATGACTTTCTTTTTATTTATTTATGGGACTGTGGGCAACACATAGTATTTTCCACAGAGATCTTTACGAATACAGAGTATTTTATAAGTATTAAAAATTGCTAAGTGTCAAGGGACACATTGGAAATCGGGGTTCACTGAGTTTGAGAGGGCCCAGAAAGATTTGAAGTGGGCACTCATGTGAAACTGTGAGCCTAAAAGCCGGCTCACTCCTGTCCTCCAGTGTGCTGCCCTGGGAAATGATCACAGATTAAAGTACCTTAGTTGACTGTCATAGCCTTCAATACACATGGAGGCATACAATCGGAGTAGGACCTGACGTGTGGCCATTACAGTCCCTTTTCATTAAATAGCTTATTTTTAAGCTCTCTTTGTGTCAGCAATCCCTCAGGACAAGAAATAAGCAGAACTTACTGTGAAAAAGGAATTTCAATGATTCGTGGTACTTGAAAATTAATTTGTGTTCTGATTTGCAATAG